GGCAGCCCAGCTCCAGGTTGAGCTGTTGTTCAGCATCTTAGCTGTAGAGGGCAGTGTCACTGGCCCTCATATGTGGGTCCGAACCGGGGCCCTCTGGCATCCCAAGCCAGTTCTTAACCAACGCGCCACTCAGCCGGCCCTAGGGCTTTTTTCATTAACAAATGCACCCTCATTTCCAGGATATTTTCAGGTTGTTGTTGTTCAAGTGGCTGCTCAGAGCTCCCGTTGCTCCACGTCCCCCACAACACTTCATGGCGTCAGACGTTTTAAGTCTGCCAGCCCGGTGGGTGTGAATGGTGCCCGAATTTCCTGATTGTGAAGAACATGGTGCGTGTTTCCGTGTTTGCCCATCATGTGGGCCTCCTCTTTTGTGAAGCCCTATTTATGTCTTTGGTCCATTTTTAAATTGAATTGTTGGCTTTTTCTTATAGATTTGGAGGATTTACTTAATTTTCTGCATTGTCACACCTGAAACTAATATAATATTGTATGTCAACTGTAAATGAAAAATACAAAATTATTTTATTTTATTTTATTTTTATTTATTTTATTTATTATTTTTTTTAATTTAATTTTTTTTTAAGCTGAGCCATCCTGCTACCTGTTGGCAGCTCAGCAGCTGCTCAGCTCGGGCTGGACTCGAACCGCTGTTGCTCAGAGCTCAAACTCCTAAGCGAGCTCTTAACCAACTGAGCCACTCGGCCGGCCCAAAATACAAAATTATTTTAAAAAATAAAAAAATTGAATATATTTAAAAAAATACTTAATAATAATATAAGTTATTATGAAAATACTTCACAATAAAACCAGGAATACAACAATTCTAAATTATATGCACCTAACAACAAAGCTTCAAAATATATAAAGAAAAACTGACAGAACGGAAAGGAAAAATAGACACATCCACAAGGACAGTGGCAGACTTTAACACAGACCTCACAGCAACTGGTAGAAAAAGTAGACAAAAAATATTAATATGGATATAGAAAACTTGAATACAATTAGTAAAGCTGATCAAATTGATGAGAACACCTCTCAGAAAAAAATAATGGAAGTATACGTCTTCTTTTCAAGAACACATGGGACATTTATCAAAATTGTCCACATAATACTGGGCCACAGAGCTTCTCTATACCTGATGAAATAATTTAAAGTATGCATTCTGACCACAGTGGAAATAGGCTATAAATCAATAACAAAATAATAACTGGAAAATTCACAAATATTTGGTCATTTCGCAACACATATCAAAATAACACATGGGCCAGGGAGGGGAAAACAACAACAATAAAACAAAAAAACACATGGGCCAAGGGAAAAAATCATAATACACACAAGACATTGTTTTACTTGACTGATACTGAAAACACAATATATCAAACTTTATGGGATCAGCTAAAGCTATGCTTAGAAGGAAATTTATATCCTTAAATCCATATATCAGAAAAAAAATTCTGGAAATCAATGTTTATTCATCTCAAGAAGTAAGAGAGAAAATCTAAAACAGGGATAAAAGGGGGAAAAAACTGAGGCCAGCCGAGTGGCTCAGTTGGTTAAGAGCTCGCTCAAGAGTTTGAGCTCTGAGCAACAGCGGTTCAATTGCCGGCCCGAGCTGAGCAGCCGCTGAGCTACCAACAGGTGGCAGGATGGCTCAGCTGGTGTAACAACAAGACTGCCTGTTCGATGGTGGGCTACACGCCCCGGCAACTAAGACTGAACTCGGCACCTTGAGCTGAGCTGCCACCCAGATGGCTCAGTGGATAGAGCGTGCGCTCTTAACAACAAGACTGCCGGTTCAACTCCCACATGGGATGGTGGTTACGCCCACCATCTAAGATTGAACATGGCACCTTGAGCTTAGAGATCACGAGCTGCCGCCGGGCAGCTAGATGGTGACTGGTGCCCTCCACAACAAAGATTGAAGAACAACAACTTGGCTGGTCCCCTTCCCCAATTCCCCAACACTGTTCCCCTCCCCCAATTCCCCAATTTTAAAAAAATAAAAATATATATATATATATAAATATATAAAATAATAAATAAGAGCAGAAACTAATGAAACAGAAAAGAAATGCATAATAGCAGAAAATCCACAAAACCAAACACCCAGTAAGACTGAACAAGAAAGAGAAGGTACAAATCACAGATACAGTGAGAGAGAAGGAACAGACCCTACAGACACTTAAAAGATAACAGGAAGATATTAGGAACAACTTTATGCTAATAAGTTCTTTTTCTATTCTTCATTGCTTTTTAAAATTGTTATTACAATATAACATATATATGCAGAGGGCTCAGATTTCAAGAGTGCAGCCTGATGAATTTTTACACATCATGCACCTGTGTGACCATCATTCGGATCAAGATGCAAGACACTCCCTCGGCCACCTTCTCAGTAGATAGCGTCCTCCAAGAGGTAACCAAGATTGTGACTTGACAGACATTCCTACTGCATGTAGACATTGGCCTCCGGTTATGTGTGTGGCTTCATCAGAATACGGGAGGTTGTAGTTCCTCTCTGTTGCTGCGTTCTGTTCAGTGCACGGACGTGCCAGGAGCGACACCACTGTGTTGATGGCCGTGTGTGTGCCCAGTGGGAGTCTCTATGAGCTATTGAGAGCACACTCTGGTGATCGTGTGTACTCTCTTGGGTGTGTGCCTAGTAGAATCGCTGGGTCAGAGGCAGGCATATTAAGGCTCCGGTAAACACTGCCAGTTTTCCCTCAAATCATCGAACTGCTCCACTCTCACCATCCTTGATGCTGACCCTGGTTTGAGCGATTCTAGTGGGCACCATGGTATCTCATGGTTTTAATTTGCATTTCTCTCATGTCAGATGACATGCAGCATCTTTTCACATAGTTATCTCACCATTTGGATATCCTCCTGTAAACTGCCTGTTCAAGTCCTTTGCTCATTTTTATTGGGTCGTCTGTGCTTTTCTAGCTTGTAGCAGTTATTATACATTTTGGATACAAATTATTTGTTGGATCTAAATATAGTTAATATTTTTTTCCTTTTCCCTTTTTTTTTTTAAAGATTTTTTAATTTTTTTAAAATTTATTTATTTATTTTATTGGGGAATTGGGGGGATGGGAACAGTGCTGGGGAATTGGGGGAAGGGGAACAGATAAGTTGCTGTTGTTTTGTTCTTCAGTCTAGTTGTGGAGGACGTTGCTTCATTGGCCCAAGTTGGCACCATCATTGCGCTCTTCCCGGGTGAGGCAGATCAGTCGCCGGCTTCTGGACGGCCGCTCACTGCGNGTGTGTGTGTGTGTGTGTGTGTGTGTGTGTGTGTGTGTGCGCGCGCGCGCACACATGCGCGCACGTATGTGACTGGCTGTGTATTCCCCTTTCTCGGTCTCCCTCTCGGTGGGTGTGTGGTGTCAGAATCTCAGTTCCTTGTTTCAACCACAGCAGCAGTGAGTGTGAGATCTGGTTCTGCTTTTGAGCTTGGTCCTTATTACAGTTCTATAAATAGCCGCCTCCCTTCCCATGCTGGGCCCCTGTTCTGGCTGGGAAAGTGCCACACAGAGTGGGTAGAGAGGCCCAGCGTGGGCTGAGTGGGGACCCCACCATGCTACCAGGGGGACTGTGGCTGCGCGGGAACCCTGTGTTGCTGTCTGGGGACTCGCCCTCTGCAGCAGGACTCTCAGGCCAGCTGGGGATGGAGGACTCATCTGCTCAGAACGGCGACTCCCCATGGAGCCAGACGTCAGGTAGGCTGGACCCCTGCTGGAGTTGGACCTCTCCCCACAGGGGCCTCAAATGCCACCCCAAGCAGAGTGCTTCTAAATTCAGCGTGCCCTCCCTGGGGTACAGAGAAGGGACTGTGCACAGTGACCGGGTCACCCTGGACAGACAGCCTCTGACATGTCCACAAGGGGCGAGCACAGGCTTTCCTCCTTCCCTCTGGACTCGGTGAGGAAGGGCCTCTGGGGTCTGGGGCCTGGGACGAGATCAGGAGCAGCCTGCTCAGCCCGCGGTGTCTGGGGTCTGTCAGGGGCTGTCCTCCCATGGGACAGCCTGGCTTGCCTCAGCCTGGGGAGAGCCAGCTGGGGGCTGTGTCTGCCCCAAGCCAGCACGTTACAGGGTGGTGGGGCCCCTGGAAACCAGAACGAGAGAGGGGGGACTCCGGCAGAGTCTCTGAGGGCCAGCACACCTCCCTGCTGGGAAGTCCCCACAGAGGGGAGTCAGGGTGCCTCCCCACCCCCAGCAGGGAGCTCAGGCCTCGAGGGTGCTCCCCCAGGCCCCGGCTTCGCTGGCACTTACCTCTGGGGGTCCTGCCTTGACACCCATCTTGGCTCCAGCCGCGGACTGTAGGCCCTCAGCTTTCCAGGTGGGCGGGCTCCCGAGGCTGCCTCCACCCCTCACCCCTTCACCTGCCTTGTCTCTCCGGCCTGCTGCCTCCCCTCTGGTCACTTCCTCTCACTCCTGAGTGCTTCCGTCTGCTTTCTCGAAAGACATCTGGAGCTCGGTGGGCCAGCTCGGGGGTGGAGCTGAGGACTTTCACCTCCAGACAAAAATCATTCTTCCTTCCGTCTCCCAAGGAGGAAGCACTGCAGGCCCAGGCCTGTGTATCCGGCCTAAAGCAAGCCACAGGGGCCCAAGGAACTATGGCTTAAGCAAGATTCTTTATTTCTCTCTTGCACTAACCAGGTTCAGGAGCTGGCAGTCTAGAGAAGGCGTTGGCTCCACGGCCATGGGAGCCAGGTCTCTCCAGCTCTCAGCGGGTTCCTAGGGTTGACCAGCAGTTTCATGGCCCCACAGTGGCTGCTGGAGCTCAGCCATCACCTCCATGTTCCTCCTAGCAGAGCATTAAGGACATCCCAGAGGCTTCCTGGAAGTCCCACAGGGCACTTCTACTTTACATCTCATGATCTAGAACTTAGTCACACGGTAACATCTAGCTGCAAAGGAGGCTGGAAAATGGCGGCAGGTAGGTAGGACCTCTGTCCTGGAGAGTGCAGGTGGGGCCACTTATTGGCCTGTCTGAAAAGGGAGGCCTGGCTATAGGTGCCCATGCCCAGCCCCAGTAAGGGGCTCTGCCTCACCCCTCAACCCTCCAACTGGGGCTTCCTGAATACAGGACCCTGTGGCCCTGCAGACTTGACCATTAGAATAGCTCTTTTACTTTGAATGAGTTCTGAGTGTCTGCCCCAGCTCCCCCTTGGAAGCTCTCATTCAGGGCAGGGGCTGTAGGGGCCCTGTATAGGGTGGCCTCAGGGTGACCACCTGCTACTCGGGTGGGTAGCAATTCCCAAGGTCAGGGTTAACGGGGGATCCCTGGGGCCAGGGTGGGACGTGAGTAGGGAAGAATGCCCCCCGATACCTTCACTTGCTTTCTAGTCTCTCTGTGCCAGTCTGGCCTTGGGGTCATCTCTAGGCCACAACCAGGGTGGTCTCTGCTCTCTGACTGGGACTCTGATGCCTGAGTGCTGCTGGGTCAGGGTTAGGGCTTTTTTCTTTTTTCTTTTTTTTTTTAAGATTTTTATTGGGGAATTGGGGGAAGGGGAACAGACAAGTTGCTGTCGTTTTGTTCTTCAGTCTAGTTGTGGAGGATGTTGC